ACCTAAAAAATAAATAAAAGGATAAAGAAGATGGAGATTTTACAAATTCTCAATTGCCCATCAAAGAAAACAAAGTGTGGCAGAGTTAGATACCGAGGATTTCATAATGAAAGGATTCCGAGCATAGCATCAAAGAGAGTGAAATCTTATAAGGTCTGTTTGGAAATTTAACTTTTAACTTTTAACTTTTAAAAGTGCCAAGTTGTTTGAATATAACCAATATGATAAAAGTTAAGCACTTTTAAAAGTTAAAAGTTGTTTGAATATAACTAATATGATGAAAGTACTTTTATAAATGTGTTTTGGAAAAAAATTTGAATGTGAATTTGCTCAACTTGATTTTCTTTAGCTTTTGAGATGTATCTTTTAAAATGTGATCCATTAATTTTTTTATATGACCATGCCACTCTTGACTTTTATATAAAAAAATTGCAGGAAATTTCTTGACATATCACACATATAAATAACCAAATACGCACTTATTGTGTATAAATGTGTATTGAGATGGAGATGAAATGTGGATTTACTAACTTTATTTTTTTGTGAATTTGAAATTGAAAATGAGAGTTGAGTTGTACCTACTTTTATAACGACCATGACACCCTTTTTATATATTTAATTTTTCTTCTAGTAGTAAACTATATATTTTTTATTCTTAACATGTTAGTTTTTTGTTATTTTAAATTTTTATATTTTTTAAACATTTCTAATATATATTCCTTCCGTCTCAAATTATAAGACACTTTTAGACAAAATCTTACATACCAATAAATCTCATTAAATACACTTAACAACCTTATCCTTTCAAAACAAAAATATGAACTTACATAAATACACATCATTTAATATATTAAAAAGATAAGGGATGAAAATTAATTATAGAAAGAGAAACGATAATATTGAAATTGATGCATTTAATGAAATCTTAATTTACTCAAAGTATTTTATATTTTGAAACGAAAAAACTTCTTCAAAAGTGCCTTATAATTTGGAACAGAGGGAGTATTATATTTGTATAACAAAAATTATCATTTATTATAAATCAATGTTATTTTTAGTCATTACATATTCAAAAGTACATTTTAAAAGTAGAAATTATTATCAACCCAAATAATTTTAATTTATCAAACTGACTTTTAAAAAAAATATTCAAACATAAATTTAGTTATAGAAGCTAACTTTTATTAAACTAATTTTTATCAAATAAATTTTTAATAAATGAACTTTTCAAAATTAAAAACCAAACACACACATAATCTCCGTGGTTCCCGTTCTTCCTCATGAAGTTGAAGCATAATGTCCCATTCCTTTTCTCGTCCTTCCTTTTTTTTTTTTTTTAAATCGGTTTCTTCGAGTGAGGGTAGAGTACCCGATGCCTAGTGAAAGAACGCTCGCAAGTCGCAAGAAACAAGCTATATATCGCCTCCCCAACCATTTCTCCCGGGCTTGAAAATACCCAGCCCAACTGGGATCGAGTTGTACGTACAGTTTCAGGGAGCAAGCATTCGAATTAAAAATTTTGATTTTGTTATTTGTTTGGGTTGATTGAACCCCACTTTCGTGACGGCAGACCCGATTCCACATCCAATGCTGACAACTGAGCCACATTGCACATGGAATTGTGGAGTTTCTGGTGGATACATGTAAATCGATCACTGCGAGATCTGTTGAATACTCGTAGATGTTCTAAGTAGACTAGTTCACAAACACACCAAGCTAAACCCAAGCAACGGAGCAGGAGAAGCAAGAACTTGTGTTGTTGAGCGCCAACAAACTTAGCAAAACATGAAAAGGGAGTGAGGGGGAGCATGTGCGGGTGCTTGATGGATGGCGCACCGAAGCATTTGAAGTGTTGAAAGGCTGAAGAAGGAAGCACGGCAGACGAATGGGATTTCAGGAGAGGCATGTTCTTGGTGGGAGCCCTGGCGTACAAGATTTGGCTCTATCAGGAGTGTAGTCAAGGTTAACACTGGATGCTGACAAGTTGCATCTTGGATTTGGTTCATCATGTCGAAGACGTACGGATGGGGTTAAAAAAAGGATAAACAATGTAAATCATGGTCCCCTGCAATACAAGGCGGGGAATATTGTGGAATTCTTCTTCCCTTCTGGTCTCTTTGCTCATGCTTGGCGCCTCTTCACTGACCCCTCCTCTCTCATCTACCCCTTCAAAACAACATACCACCGTGACGCGTCCAATCTCTTCATCTCCCTTCTCTTTCTTTACAAATAAATATTGCATCTTCCAACTCCATAATCTCATTCCAACTCCAATCCCTGGCAACTCCTTTATTTTTGAGACCAAAGATCAGGTGTGACTAACGAAACACACTTTAGGCTCCTTAACTTTTACAAGTCCCATAACCTCGTTTTTTCCTTTGAGCTCCAAACTCCACATATCTGTTGTGACTAAAGCCGTACATACTCAGTGCGTTCATATATCAATTGGTCTTCTTCTTTTTGAGTTTCGTCCAAGCTCGGAGAACTTTTCTTTTCCACTTTATGCGAATGGACAACTCTTTTTGGGCTTTGAGCCAGTACTTCGCATTTTTGGACTTTTTAGATATTATTTTTGCTTATTTTTTCTCAAAATGCCTAAAAATCACTGAGTGGGATATTTTATCCAAGTTTCTGTCAATTCACACATTAATTAGCAGATGAAAGAGCAAACAATATATATTAAGTAAAATATACACTTATCAAACATTTAAAGTTATCGGATGATTTTTCTGATATCAAGTCAATACGTATTTTCTGTAGAGGACTGTTTTTCTAGGTGTCTTGATGAATTGCATTTTACACAGAAAATTGGCAACATAAAATAAACAGCGTGAATTAATAGAAATCGAAGTGTGTCAAATATCTTCCCACCATACAAGACACGAGATTCATATGCACAAAAATGGAATCTGAATCCCTACTATCAGAAGTTGTGCTACCTCTCTACTACCAAAGGGAACGCGCATACCGTTAAATCAAGTAAAGATTTATTTAATCTTAACCGTTCCCCTTTAAACTTCTAAAACCAATACCTCGTCCCTTTCTTTATTTCACGAAGCAACGTGCGAAGACGGCCTCGGTTTGAGACACAGTGCAAAGACGTGTGATATTCAGGTCCCAGCATCTTGCGCAGAACCAACGGCTTAGATCTTAATAGTGAAATGTAGCACGGTTTTAATTTGGCCCTAAACATTTGGCCCCAGCATACTATTGCCTTGTTATGATTATATCTTAGCTTCCCGTCACAATTCTTGCACAATTGTACTCATCTTTAATTGGTCATATGTTTCCCTTTTGTGTTGGATACGTAGAGGTGAATCCAAGCCCAATCTCCCTTTTCTATATATTTAATCAAAATTTTGTGTACAAACAGTTAACTTAATGGTAACATATGGGTTTAAATCCTTTAAAGCTGTGACTGGTAAATTTAAGTAAAAATTTTTAAATATTTTTGCTCATTTTATTTTTTTTATAAATTATAACAAATTTCCCTCTTTCTTAAACCAGAAAACGTCACAAAAAATTCACTAACTACAATTTTGAGAGGATTTAAATCCCTCAACTTACATATCCACACACTAAGCTGAAATGTGCTAATAGTAGAGCTGGTAAAAAGGGCCGGCCCTTGAAGGGTTCGGGCTTAAAAGGACCAGCCCTTTTAAGCCCGAGTTCCCTTTAGGACCCTGATATTTGAAGCCCAGCCCTTGACATAGCGGGTTCAGGGCCGGCCCTGCGGGCTTTAAGCCCTTTTAATTATTTTTATTTTTTTAATTTTTTAATCAAATAAAAATTACTTCATTTTAATATAATACTCAATCAAGAAAGGTACAAAAAAAAACTAACTAAATAACATCTAAATGAACTAAAAGCACAAGTAAAATAATAGCAATGTAATAAGCAATGGATCGGCTAAGCTGACAAACACCCAATCAAAATTAGAAGAGTAAATGTTGAACTGAATGAATCATTATCATGGATCTAGATGAATTAGGAGATTTAATGTTGTATTTTTTTTAGAAAATAGTAGCCAAGGATTTCTATATAAAATTTATATCAATTAAGAATCAATTGTTGTCAAAACCTGAATGAAAAACAAGCTACAATGAACTATTGTTAATTTAAAATGAGTTATTATTAAAATCTAAATGAATACTTATTGATAAAGGCTAACTCGAATCCACAAGTATCTACTCGAATTTTGACAACAAGTGATCCTTGATTGATATAATTTTTGATTAGTGATTCTTCATTGCTATTTTTTCTTCTTCTTTTTTTTTGCCTTCCATCCTTAGTAAATATGAGCTAATATGTGATGTAGAGTAAGATTTAGTTTAATTTTTTTTTTTCAAATCTAAAAAGAGTGAAAATTATGAAAATTAATTAAAAAAATGCATATGCGGGCTTAAACGGGCTGGCCCTCGACCCTGCAAGGCCGGCTCGTTTAAACCCGATTTATCATTTTGCAGTTCTATTTACAAGCCCGGCCTTACTTTTATACGGGCTTAAACGGGCTAGTCCGATAGACTCGGCCTGTTTTCTCGGCTCTAGTTGATGGGGACGCTTATTCATTATACATTCATGAACTTACTTTGGGGGATGCTATTTATGAGCTAACTTTGAATGCAGCTGAATCTGTTTCCATCCTTTGCAACTATACATATTTTTTAATTTCTTCATTGTCATAAACTACAGTGAAATTTACTACCCCGGAATTGATTTGATGTAATGTTAATCTACCGCATTCCAAACATTAAATTTTGTTTTCCATTTATGTTACTAAAGAACAAAAAAATTCTTCACCCCAAATTCATGGTCACTTCAACATCCAAGCCCGTCACATCCTGTTCCTATTTCAGCTAGCTTGTCTCAAATTATGGCCCTCGCGTTATGTCTCTCTCTTCTCCAGATTCCACATGCATGCGATTTGACAGATATATTCTACGCATGATTCTTTCGATTCCATCTACATAGTCAAATGCATTTTGAGGTAAATATCTTCACTTAAACCAGAATCCTACATAGCTAGCATCACTGGGTAATAAAAGCACGGTCACTTTCTGACAAAAATTACAGACAATATGGGTAACATCACAACCCCGTCGGTTTGCTTACATAGCATAGTGTTCGTTAGTTCTTCAACGGAAGGAACTCAAAGAACTGGCTTGGGGTCAAGTTGGCATTCATTGCAGAAACTGAAATCTCACTCTCTTTATGGTTGACGTTATCACTGCCATCCCCACTCCTTAGAGGGAAAAGTTCAAGGGTTTGAGGTTCCCCAGAGTTATCAAACTGGTCTCTGATACTGTTAAAGTGGATCACAGTGCTTTCACTGTGAGGCGATATAAAGAAGCTGAGATCATGTGCCTTAATGAGCTTTGAGTCAATTGCTACCGTGCTTGTGGAAGCAATTAAACTAGCTGTAGAGGTGTTTATGAGGTGGGTGGAAGCGGCAGGAGGGGGAGGAGGACGTGATGGCTGCATCATCTGCCACGTGGCATTCCTTTCCATTAAGTTTCTTCCTTGCTGTAACTCCCCTTCATCGAATTGGATCCATCCTTCTGTTCTTCGCTCAGCCACCGCTGCTTTTGTTGCTCTGGGTATGGAAACAGATTCCTGAAGGTTCAATTAGAGACATGCAATACAAGACATGAAAAACCTCAGTATTATTACACTGTAAAATAGAAAAATGGAGCCAGAGAAAGTTATATATGGGAAGGCACAGATTTTACTCGGGCGCTCCAAGTTCCTATTCAAATAAAGACACATGGAAGATGGTCAGAGTTGTCTTTTCATGATCAAGGGGATGCTCAATTCTGTAAAGCGGGGCGCCCCAAATATAAGACCTGAACGACATGAATAAGCACGAGCCCCAAAACCCTCCCCCACAGCCAAGTTTCATAACAGCAGCCCCGACAGAAAGGAAGGAATGCAGCTTTTGGCTGGACTCTTTCCATTTCCCAATAAACAAAGCTTTTTTTGGGTCCTTTCACTACGTAAAGCGTGTATCTCTCTTTAATTATCCACCAACCATTTCATCTCTACTTAAGTAATCATATGCAAGTAATCACTGCTTAATATATTCTTATAAACTTTTGGCTCTTAAGCAAGTGAATTTCAAGTTGAAAACGTCAAAGAAAGGCTTATTGTATGTATGAACAAGGACAAAGACAAAGGAGAGGGTATGGAATAGACCTCTGCAACTGTACTGCATTTTGTAGAGGGTGCCCAGTTCTTGGTCCGTTCAACTTCAAACACTGTCTTACTTACGCCTGCAGACAAAAAGAAATACAAAAAGAATCAAACTTTACATCTCGAGCAACAACCGGAACGGAAAGCAGGAAAAAGCATCACATAATACAGTTCTCCAACAAACAAAATGCAACGGACAAAGCCATACATTAGAAAACAACTACTCTTTTTCTCCTCCTCTTGCTGTCTTTTCAATGAAAAATTACAGACTCATTATGGTAAGGTGGTTTTACCCAAGTCTTCTTTCTCTAGACTATCAAAGTCACAGGGAGCTGATTCCATCTGACGGCGCCGTTTCTGTCTTTCTCTGGCTTTGTGATTCTGAAACCAATAGAAAACATTCTTCCCTTCAATTTTACCGAATCTCCTCAGCTGTGCAGTGATATGTTGGATTTCCTCAGCCGATGGTGTTCTTGTTCCTCGCCGATACAATTCTTCGAGGGCTCTTAGCTGCTCTGGTGTAGGATTCCACCTCGAGCTCACCATAACTGGTGGAGCATTGAACTCTCTCTCACTCTGATCCGTCGTCGATGCTAAAACCAATGTATCATAACATGTAGAAACCCAATATTCAGAAGCAAATGCAAACAGATAGGGTGAGGAGAGAGAAAATGGTAAAACAACTTACTCAGATGATGATATTGTGTAAACAAATCGGAGCCGTGAATACTTCTTAGGCAAGGAGGAGTTGTAGTTGAAGTATTATTGGAAGAAGTCACCGGCCTTGGAATGAGAGTCCTGAGCATCCTTCCATTGAATGGGTGATCAACCGTATTGACCTCACCACCATCGTTATGTCCCACCATCCACATTCTGATCGACAACGGGGCAGATTGACAAAGGCTAGGGCTTTTATGACTAGAAAAGCTTTGAATGAAGCTACTGTTGTCGTCCCAGCCTATACGGTGAAAGGGAACCGTAAGAGGAATATAAAAAGTGGGAGTGCTTTAATTGCTTCGGGAGTCTACTTTTCTCAACCGTTGCCACCTGGTCAGTAATGGGATTGAAATGGAGTATCAGGGCATGGAGTTGAAGTTGAAAAAATGGAAGCGTAGTTTAGCAGAGCATGCAAGGGTATGAAAAGTGGAAACCTAGCGAGTGCAAATGAGAAGTAGGAAAGGTTTATACATAGAATGATTGACGGAAAGGAAAGACGGCATTGGGGGAAAAAAGAGGGAGGTGAGCTGAATGTGAAGGATGGGAGTCTCATCAAGACATTCAGAGATGGGGATGGATCAGGCTAGCATACTGAGGGAGGAGAGAATGGTGTTGGATTAACATGGGACAGAGAAAGGCGGGCATGAGGTTGACCGGGAAAGAGAGAGAGGACGAAGACAAAAATGAAGGAAACTTAAAGAGGAGGAAGAGAGGGAAGGAGCGTGGAATTCTGGGAGATTTTCGGGAGAAGCAAATGAAAAACGACGTGACGATCATGAGGGTTATCATGAGCCTCATCACCCCTCTCTCCTTTTCCCCTCTCATTTACTGTTCCCCTCCCGTCTCGTGCCTTTCACACTAATTCTCAATCCGAACTGCTCCTCTCTCCCTCCTTCACATCTACTGTACGGATATATCTTACATTTTCACCTTCATATCCACCCACACCAATGCTCGCAGCAGTTTCCTTGCCCAATCACACTTTGTGTTGATGTAAGTAATCATCCTAGGCATGTGAGATTCATACATTCTTTTGGCTTCCAGACGTTAGTTTATAATTTTGTTAATGTCTGAGCAACCCCGTATACGTGTATGTGTTCAGATGCAAAAATTTTACACTTTTGATGACCTAGCAAAAATGACTGCCACTCATTTGGAATCCTCGGCTGGTCCAGAACTCCAGACCCCCCATTTATTGGATTAAATTCTTGGGTCGTCCTCTCCTAAACAAATCTCTCCATCTCCCCCTCCCCCTGTGGCTTGGTTTGCCCCTCTCTATCCCTTTCTCTGCTCATTTTTATTTGGATTTTCTTTTTTTTCTTTTTATTGTGTTCTGTGGTTCGGGCTGTACGGGTGAAGACGTCTCTCTCTGCCTCTCTGTGATTGCCTCTTTGATGTAGGCCCTCCGTCATGATGATGGAATGACAATGTGCAGCTGATATAGAATTTGAAAGCTATAATTGTTTAATTATTTCAAGCTTTTTGTTGGGGGGAGGGCCTACCTCCTGCAAGTTCTGACCTCCTACTATTTTTATGTCTGTTATTTATTATGTGCATGGAACATATGTAATGGGAGTACATGCAAACTACAGAGCATTGCATCCACGATCTACTGTAAGTCTACAGAGCAGTGCATCCATTAATTAAAACCCTAATCACCTGTCATTTCTGGCCACCAAAACCAAAACCAGGTAAAATACTGAAAATGTGACCCTCTGATCCGAGTCCCATCTCTTTATGTTTGAGACTTTGAGCTGCAATGAGTTCATCATATTCTAGCTTTTTAGGTATAGGGAGAATGTTTTTCCTCCAAATTGAAACCCTCGGTCAATTGAACATTGGCAATTAATTAATGTCATAATCATTAATCAACTAATCATTTATGTATATTCCTTATTCTCCAAAACCCTGTTTTAATGACAGATTTTAAAATACTGACAGTTATCAATATTTAAATGCATCCCAGAGTTAAACCAGACCAGCACTAGTTTTTTTTTTTTTTATTTAATAGGCCCCTTTCTTTCTCTCACGCACTCAATCAGTGAAACTGAACAATTAAAGAATATAAAAATGCAACATCACAAGAAGATGCAAACAAAGAATTTGGATAGTTGTTGTCCACCATACCTTGGAGAAAGGGTAGAATATATAGATACACACAGTTATACACGCATTGTCATGCATTGTTTTCAGAAAAATTACGGTGACACTTGTCCTGGTGCTTCCACTCATCATTTCTTTCTTTCCCAAGACTATGGTAAGACATCATTCTTACGACGAGAAATCATTAAAGCATTTGCATTGGCAAGGACTAGTCAATCGGATAGCTGGAGCATGCTCCCCCTCCCCTTCCTTTAAAATTAAAAATATAGGCAACAAAAATTAAATTTGATGCATTGCAATTTTTATCGAAGTTACATCATTATGACTATGTATGTAAATATAATGATATCTGTTGAGCCAGAGAAAGTGGGGGTTCTCAAAAGCATGTTTATTGCTTATCTTATTGGAATCCTCCGCGGGCTTAAAACCATTAGTAGAAATCCGGTTAAACTTGGTTTGGAGGTGGTGGAAATCTTCGCAGGCGAAAGTTTCTGGTCTTTGTTTTCGGGCTTCTTCCAAGTGAAAGCTAGTTCGAGTTCAGCTTATGCCCATTTGAGTTTACATTGGTGACTTCAACGCATACACATTTGAATTTTTGCATTGGTTTATCTTAATGCCCTAGGAATATGGAATAACTATCCCATAAAAAATTTGTTCGTATCACAATTAATCAAATAATCTTGATCGTGTTTTTACTTCAACGTAAACCTTATTATAAAACTTATTATAGCCGTCCAAATAAAATAAACGTTATCGCATATATTGACAAGAAGAAAGCCATTTTAGTCCTAAGAGTAAAAAAGGTTGCTACATCGCCAAGGGCTTTAATCGAATCAATCATGTCGCTGTTTAGATCAGACTAAATTATGGTTTTAATTTGGCGGAACTTGGCTAATTAAGATATTGTTTCGCATGCCAGCTCGTGACATATATAGACGTTCCCAAGTCAAGTCAAACCAGAAGAAAGGTTTGATAGATTAAAAAAAGAGAGCCTTGGGCTCTGATTACCGTCTTACACCGTTGTCATCGTCACTCAACTTGTTACTTGTTAAGCCGGCGGGGATGTGCAAATTAAACAACAGCAAATAAATGGCAGTCAATGATGCGGCTTTGCGCTAACAGACATCTCACTCCAAAGAAAGCAGTCGGCCTCCGGCCACCGTCCGATGTCATCTTCACTCTTCATTATCGGGGACATTCCTGTAATTGTTCCCTAAAGACTCTTTGCTATCGCTATATAACGACCACCTCCATGGCCTTCGTTCCAGGCAGTTGCATTGAGTGATAGTTGAGAGAAATATCCACGAAGATCCAATATTACCCCTGGTGAGTTAGGCCAAAATGCGTGAGATTCTTCACATCCAGGGAGGGCAGTGTGGGAACCAGATAGGATCAAAGTTCTGGGAGGTGGTGTGCGATGAGCACGGGATAGACCCGATAGGGCAACACACAGGGAATTCAGATGTTCAGCTTGAGAGAGTGAATGTTTACTTCAACGAGGCAAGCAGTGGGCGTTACGTGCCGAGGGCGGTGCTCATGGATCTCGAGCCTGGCACCATGGATGCTGTCCGTACCGGCCCTTACGGCCAGATTTTCCGACCCGACAACTTCGTTTTCGGCCAATCCGGTGCCGGAAACAATTGGGCCAAGGGTCATTACACTGAGGGTGCTGAGCTTATTGATTCCGTCCTCGATGTAGTCAGGAAGGACGTTGAAAATTGTGACTGCTTGCAAGGTAATTTCGTGCTTTCTCCTTTATCCTCAATTTCAGTCAAAGTGATCCCTGATCAAGATACGACTTCTACTGTGATCAAGTCAATTTTCAAATTCTGAAACGTGGGTTTTGATCGAAAGTTTCTTCAAATTTTTGTGCCTGCTGAGTCAATATCTTTCTGTTTCTCGGTGATGTCCAGAAGAATATTGGACGGACGGTCTACCATTTTTCTATGCAGGACAGGACGTTTATCAATCGGTTGCTTAGTTTTATAGTTGTACTGAATATTTTTGTTTGGTATAATTTTAGGATTTCAGGTGTGCCATTCCCTGGGAGGTGGAACAGGTTCTGGAATGGGAACTCTGCTCATTTCAAAGATCAGAGAGGAATACCCAGATCGTATGATGCTTACGTTCTCCGTCTTCCCGTCTCCAAAGGTGTCGGACACGGTGGTTGAGCCTTATAACGCTACACTTTCTGTTCACCAGTTGGTGGAGAATGCTGATGAGTGTATGGTCCTTGATAACGAAGCACTCTATGACATCTGCATCAGAACTCTCAAGCTAGCTACGCCAAGCTGTAAGTATTTACTGTATATTTATCCTTGCAAGCCCATCAATAAAATTTCTGTTCTTCTTGATAACCGATATCTATGTTTATATATCTTGTTTCCTTCCAGTTGGAGACTTGAATCATTTGATATCAGCAACTATGAGTGGGGTCACTTGTTGCTTAAGATTCCCGGGGCAGCTCAACTCAGACCTGCGGAAGCTAGCTGTGAACTTAATCCCATTTCCTCGACTTCACTTTTTTATGGTGGGGTTCGCTCCTCTAACGTCTCGAGGATCACAGCAGTACCGTGCACTGACTGTACCCGAACTCACACAACAGATGTGGGATGCCAAGAACATGATGTGTGCTGCTGATCCGCGCCACGGGCGTTACTTGACAGCCTCGGCCATGTTTAGAGGCAAAATGAGCACAAAAGAAGTAGATGAACAGATGTTGAATGTTCAGAACAAGAATTCATCCTACTTCGTTGAGTGGATCCCCAATAACGTTAAATCTAGTGTCTGTGACATACCTCCCAAAGGTGTTGACATGGCTTCAACTTTTGTTGGGAATTCAACCTCTATACAGGAAATGTTCAGGAGGGTGAGCGAGCAGTTCACAGCCATGTTTAGAAGGAAAGCCTTCTTGCACTGGTACACTGGAGAAGGAATGGATGAGATGGAATTTACTGAAGCAGAGAGTAACATGAACGATCTTGTTGCTGAGTATCAGCAGTATCAGGAGGCCACGGCTGAGGGATATGGAGATTATGAAGAAGAAGAAGAAGATGGAGGCGCTGAAACCTGAAGGTATTCTCCCAATCTCCTATGTCGCGTGTTACAAGCATTAGCAAATCAATAACTCAGTCTTGTTGCCATGTATCTGTTCAGTGGCATTGTTTGATTTGATGCCCGGCAATTTCAAAGAAGTGTGCATGCGTTCCTTATGCACATGTCAATGTTATGCTTTCGGTGCGGTGGCTTGCTTACAGTTAACTGTGTGTCCGTTTTGTACTTTTGGGGCTTAACTACTTTCTATATATCGTTTCCTTTTACTCTAGCTGCAGTATGATGAGAGTTTTTATGGCTTTTAATCCGATAGCTAGCTTCTGAGACAGAACAAGGGTTCTCTTTTCTGGTCACCTCCCTTGAAGCTTTGAAAGGTCTCACTTGCCCTCTTTCTTGTTAGCTTGCAGCAAAGTTTAACCGTGTTGGGTTCAAAATGGAAGGAAAAGAGGAAGAGAGATTTTAATGAACTTGTACAAAGAAATAGAGGAATGGAGTTATAAAATTCTAGTAGAAAGAAGATATGAGAGAAAAAGCAAGGGAAGTTAATTAGAGAATATCGATCTAATTATTT